ACCTTAACCCCATAGAAAATCTATGGGGTATTGTGAAGAAGAAGATGCAATACACCAGACCCAACAATTCAGAAGAGCTAAAAGCCACTATTAGAGCAACCTGGGCTATCATAACACCTGAGCAGTGCCACAGACTGATCGACTCCATGCCACGCCGCATTGCTGCAGTAATACAGGCCAAAGGAGGCCCAACTAAATACTGAGTGCTGTACATGCTCATACTTTTCATGTTCATACTTTTCAGTTGCCAACATTTCTATAAATCCTTTGTTTTTATTGGTCTTCAGTAATATTCTAATTTTCTGATATGATGAATTTGGGATTTTCATTTGTTGTCATTTGTAATCATCAAAATTAAACAAAATAAACATCTGAAATATATGAGTTTGTATGTAATGTATGAATATAATATACAAGTTTCACTTTTTAAATGGAATTACTGAAATCAATCTACTTTTTCATGATATTCTAATTTTATGACCAGCACCTGTAAGTGAAAACTTCTTAAATTAAGTGTATTTACCTTGAATTTGAGTATGTAAATAAGATGATTTGTCAATGGGATGAGTATTTTTACTCTTAAAATAAGATAATTAGATAATATGCACTTGAAATAAGACAATGCAGTTATTTATTTTTTCTTATCTTAAATGTAAATTGTCTTTCTATTGTCTTGTAGTGATGTGACCATTATTCTCTGTTTTTTCACATTTTCCAATATAATCTTTGAACGTTTCTACCTAAACAAATGAAAATGTATGAGTGGAAATGCCTACTAGATGTCATTTGTTGCATTTCTATAAAATTACAGTTTGTTAGAAGCAGTAGCTGATGAATCCTTACATTTAAGTAAATCTTCATGAATTTATACCCATCATCATTATAGTTCTCTTTTTTAATGAGTTCCTTTAATTCCCTCACTGCAGTGACATAAGCTACTATAACTCCAGAGCAGCTCTGCCTCACAGTTATGTCAAATAAAACTCAAATCTGCTGCTTCCACAGGCCTCCAGCTCGGCTATGTTGCAGAAGCACAGTCATGCAGCACAAAGATCGGCTACGATTAAGCTGCTGCCTCTGCCACCACGGACACTTCACACTGTTTTCTAGTCTTGGGAAATAAATGGCTAACAGTGAATCTGGGCTCAAGCTGTGAGATAATTTTCTTCTCTCCTCTCGATCACAGAATATCAGCAACACTCCTGCAAGGACTAATGTAGCCTTGTGTTACTAGGGTCTGGTGGTGGGTTTAGGGAATCCCCTGAGGACAGAGGTACACTGCTGCTAAAAAAAACTGAGGTACTGAGATTTTTCTGGCCATGTGGAGAAAAAGGCTTCTATAGTCTGATTGCTGTTATTTATATATATTTTTTAAGTGCTCAGATTATGTTACAACACACCCAGAAACTGTGATTTGTACTGTGCAGACATGATAGATACATTATACAGAACAAAAGAACAAAGAAAAAACAGGAAATCACAACCACAAAAACTGTGTTTGCTATGGACCTATTCCAAGGCAAGGTGTGGCTGGCTAACACCTCAGCTTGTAAAACTCATAGAGGAGAGAGTCAGCAAGAATGAAGGAGTTGTCCTGGTTGCTACTGTGGATAAATATCCAACAAAAGCCTCTTTAAATCCTGGTGTCCCCTCAAGGGCAACCTGTGGAATTAAAAGACCTTGCCATCCTCTCCTATGTAGGACTGAGGATCATGAGGTCAAGAGTCTGTCACAGTGGCGTAACAGTGAAAGAGCAGTTCGTTGTGCTTTGTTTGATGAGGGCTCCCCGGATGTTGTCAAGTTTTAGCGTAACAGAGGACGAGAGGGACAACAGCAAAAAAAGGCAGCCCTGCAACCGATGCAGATGCATGAAACATGCCCCCCCACCCAAACACCCTTTTGTTTCAAAGCCAGCGTACCTCGCTTCTACAAAGAGGTCATTAGATTCAATCGACTGAAGTCCGAAAGCAAAACACTCGGTTGTTATTTTCCAACGCGTAAGCGTCATTGTCTCTAAAAGGATATATTCGTACAAACATGTGATCCGTTAATAACTGCGTTGTAAAATCCTAGCAATAACTTCTTTATTTGTCAATCACCAAAAAAAAAAAAAAAAAAAGATTTAAAGGCTACAAAATGTGTGTTTTGTTCTCCAAAAACTAGACTGCGCTAAAGTGTTCAGAGGAGGCTGATGGAAAGCATGCAGTGTTCACATCAACAAAATGCGCCAGTCTCACAGGTGTGTATTGCAAGATCACATGAGGGAGATTCAGGAAGTTAGAACAATAAAAAAAAAAAATCAGACAATACTCTGCAGATTTAATACATTTCTATTTACACATCTCTTTCTTTCTCTATACACACACATATATATATATATATATATTCAAAGTGTAAACTGTGTTGAAAGGAAACCTCCACACATAGCTGGTTAGGCACATGTAGTTGGTTCTAAACAGGAGATACAGGGAGGAAAGGGGAACAGCAGTACATGTGAGAACCACAGACAGATATTGAAGTAGGCCTAAGGAAGGATCAGACGTGGCAATCAACATTCTTGCCAGTGATACCCTGTGAACCTGACTCACAATTTCAAGATAATAAAAGTTGTTTTGAAAGTGTTCTTCACGCAGACCGAGTCTGGATATGCCACACATCTGTAGTTCAACACAACGCTAGGATCTATCATAATAATACTGCAGTGTTTCACATTTGATATATGATTTCTTTTGTACATATATTGTACTCAATAATCTCTGCTAATCTAGAAAGGTTGTTTATATTATAAAATATACATCTTCCAATAAAATATCCCATTTTGCCAACATACCCCCCCCAAATGAAACATTTCATTCGCAAAAATTCAGATATTTTCCCATCTTTCATATATTTGGACTCTTTAGTAATAAGTAAGATGAAAAGGATCTTTTGTATTCGGTTATTGAAGTGCGCTCACATATGAGCCAACAGTCGAAAATGAGTTGTTTTAGATTTGCTTTGTATTCTCGAACCCTTCAACATAAGTTCACCTCATGCTCCTATTAAAGTATATTAAGCAAAAAGAACCATCATAAAGAGCCTTGCAAAAGCATTCATGCCCTTTGAACTTTTACACATTTTGTCATGTTACAGTCATAAACTTCAGTGTATTTCTGTATTTTTGGGATTTAATGTTGTCTTCCACACAAACCAAAAGTGATGATAAAAGGTTGCAGGCTGCTTTTAAAATCCTTTTTTTAAAACAACCTTTGAAACTTGTTTGTATTTAGCCCCCTTTTACTCTGAAGCACCTAAATATAATCCTTTACAATCACTGGAAGTCTCCATACGTCAACTAATTAGTTAAAAATATGCTGTTATTAAAACCAAAACCACCGGTCATGTCCGAAATAAGATTCTTTTGAAATAGAGTTGAAAAATAGGAACAATTTGACTAAGATGATGAAAAAAAAGGCTCTTTTGTTTTTAGTCTTTTTAAAATTCTTTTAAATAAATGGGAAAATCTTAAGATACGGTTGTCAACATGAACTAACAAACCACACAATGACAGCATTTATTCAGTTAGCAGCTAAGATGACCACGGTAGCTTTAGGGGAGCTGTAGAGATCGACAACTCAGGTGGGAGAAACAAAAAAAAATAATTCAATGTGGCTCATATAGAAAAGTAGCAAGAAGAGAGTTGGTATAAAACGAAAGCAACAGGTCCTGCTTAATTTTGCCGATGTGGTCAGTTAAGCGCAGATAAAAAAAAAATAATAATAATAATTTGGGCCTTAAAAATCCAAGGGTCTGTAACCTGCAGTTTCAGAGCCAAAAGTTGAACTTTGGACCCTTTACTATGGCTCTTAATAGTGGCTAAAAAATTATAAATAAGACAACTAAGGTTTTTTTTAAATATAGTACAGTAGCAAATACAAGTTTTAAAGGTTTTAGCAGGTTTTTAAATAAAAATAGAAAAAATGACCAGAAATATGTTTTTCGGTCTATTTTTCTTGTCATTAGCTTTCAAATGACTTTTTTTCTCTCTTTTTTTGTCTTTTTCTTTTACATCAAATAACATACAGAAGAAAATCCATGCTTCCTTTTTATGAAACGCTTCAAGTTTTCCCTTATTTTTAAACCAGATTTTCTACAGCAAATATTTAACAAGAAGAATAAATTCTGTTTTAAAAAGCAGCTCATTTAATATTTGCGGTTCTAAACACGTTTTACTTCGCTGTACTCGAGGCAAAATGGTTGCTTGGATTTTAAAACTGGCAGATTCTGCCCGAAACCAAAGGAAGATAATGTCTCATAAAAAAAATATTTGAATACACCAAAGTTTGTGGCTGTAATGTGAAACAAAAAGGAAAAGAAGTTCAACAGATAGAAATATACCCGCAAGGCGTAGTAGCTTTGCATGTATTATATATTTTTCACTCCCAGCATAAATATAAAATATCACACTATTTTTTTTTTTCCTAAATAAATTAATCAAATCTGATTGGATTTGGTGATTCTTTGGAAGGATCATTTTCATCCGTCAAAACAAAATCATTCCTTCTTTTATCATGCTGTGAGGGAAGCAAAAAATAAAGTTAGGTGATTAAAAACCCCGCTGAATATTCAGGCAGATTTTATAAACTCATCATTATAAATAAATCATGATAAATTTGATTTATTTATAAATCTAAATGATTTTAAATCATTTAAAAGTGTCCCAGAAATGTTTAAAAGACAGGGTCTCAGAGGGGCAAATAGCAGTCTCTTGCATGGCTGTTTTTCATCGGGGTGTTGGGCTTTTGTTCCTGAATGAGATAAATCCAACAAAGAACCACTGCTTTTAAAAACCGGGTTCTCATCTGACCACTTGGAGGCGCTCTACTCTCACAGTGAAAAACATGGGGCTTCTTCAAGTAAGTCCAGAAAAGCCACTGAAAAAATTCCCCCTAAATCTCTTCGAAACCCTCTTCTTCTCAGTCCTTGAAACTTCACAGACCACACAGGGAGCTTTTATTTTATTTTTTTCTTGTTTTGTCTGTGATGCTACACTGTTAAAGCTCCTTTTGGCAAAAACACACACACAGCTATTGCACATTCGGAGAGCCACGCTGCTGGATGCTGAGGTTAGTCGATAGATAGGTGGGTTAAAACTATTGACAGTAAAAGATGCAAAATAGTTCCATGTTATACTTTGTGCTTGTGCTGACAGATGGAAAGAGGGATTAAGGATTCAGTGTTTGATATCATTTCTTGAGAGAGGCTCTTTGGGGCAAACTGAGAATGCTCAGAAATCAATAGATCTTGACTTAGGTGCACTGATATCAATGAAAGCCCACAAGTAGAGTTGGTTTTGCTGCAGAATGGCATCATGGGGAGAATTTCTTCAGAGGTCTACTGCCTGTTAAGCCCTTTTTGTGCTAGGTGAACACGCACAGGCATGCTACTGCGTGATCCTCTGCTTGATACTTTTAGAAAAGTGAACCGACTCGTTTCGACCAGAGTGAATATATATATATTTAAAAAAAAAGAAACTCTGACTAAGAAGGAAGTAAAAACGTCTTCGGCTAGATACCATTTAAGGTGTAGGCCTTTGTCTCGGTAAAGTGGTTTCAATTTCAAGACACTAAAATGGCTGTCATTGCTTGTTTAGTAATAGTATAAGAAAGCAGGACTCGATGGGAAGTGCCGAGGGTGAAGAGTGGCTGTGTTGTAGCGTATAAACAGCAATGACTCGCAGAAGATCCAAAGCATTACGGGGATGAGGGCGTTGCGGGTTCAGAGCCGAGTCTGGGCTTCGGGGATGTAGATCTCGATACTGTCGGCGCTTTCGGTGGCCGAGTTCTGCCTGAAGGAGGCGGTACGCTTGGTCTGCAGCAGCCTCCTTCGTGCCTCTGTCCTCTGGCGGTCTCCGAGGTCCAGGGATTTCTCCCTGATGGGGAGGGTGTGACCTCCGAGGCGTGGCACCACCAGCCCCCCATAGCCAACTCCTGCACTCCCGGAAACCCCGTCTCCCACGCTATCGGCCCGCAGGCTGCCGCTTACCCCTCCTGCAGGCTTCTTTGGTAAGGGTGGAGGAAGTTTCTTATCCTCCTGGCCCATTGATGGTGAGACATTGGTATGAGATGTGAAAGGACAGTGGATATTTGTGTCGGGAAAAAAGGAGGTTTGTAAAGGAAAACCCATGCAGCAAAACCCACAACATTGAAAAATCAAAGCATTATGAGAACGAAAAAAAATGAACAAAAACGTGGTGCAGCATGTACAAGTGTCGAGTTTTATGAATGGAAATGGAAAGAGAGAAACAAGGGAAAAGTGAAAAAAAAGGAAGAAAAGAGTAAAAATATAGTTAGTTTTGGTAGGGTTTGATAGAAAATAAAGCTTAAAGCTGCATTTTTTCTTGACAGAGTGCAAGAAAAGAAAAAAAACAACTTAAATATACATAAATTAAAATAAACACCAAATTAAATTCTATCAGTTTGAACTGCCGCTGCCTTGTGGGCAGATCTGCTCGGCTCTTCTTGGTCTGTTCTGAGTTGTAGCAGCCTGTAAGCGTTTGGAGGGCACCGCCATCTGTTCTACTCGTCTGCACAGAGCCATCTTAGCTCTGGGAGACTGCTGAAGGGAAACCTGGGTAGCTCGGACCCTCTGGTCTCTCACCTTCTTTTCAGGTGGGAGCCTCCACCCAGAGTCCTTGAGCTTCTGGAGGTCCTGAAACCTAACCCTTACGTCTTCTATGTTGAGCTGCAGCAGGTCCCAGAAGGACGCCAGGTCCTGCGACGTGGGCTGGGGGTAGGCAGATGGGTCCTGAGCAGATAGACAGGATAAATTATCATGAACAAAGAAAAAACAATTACATGCTACCTCCTAAACCTGCAGGGCTATTTTCCAAAAAAGGCATGCTTATACTTCATTTTGCCTTTTTCAACTGCTAAAACTGCTTGTATTTTTACTGACGAACAAAAAGGTCATGCAGGATAATGTCGATGTGAAAATTTGAAAGTAAATTATTCTGGGCCTGAGTTATTTAGATTTAACTGGCCAAAAAATAAGTTTCACTAAAAAAGAAAAACAGATGCTTGGATACAAAACTTCAAATTTTTCCTGTGATGAAGGAAATTAACACAATAAACTGTAACCACAACATCTTGGTTAGATGTAGGGCTGCAACTATCCAATTTTTTTGCAAATTGATTAATCTCTCAATCACTTTTTTGATAAATCGATTGATAAATCGGATAGGAAAACGTTCCTTAAAGAAGATTTTTTACGAAATTAAGCTAGGTCAAGCTTAAACCTTTCCCCTTATGTTCTGGATAGAGAATATTAAATTCGAAATGTTTATATAATTTTTTTACAGTTTTGATATAAATACTCTTGAGTCGGTCACTCTGTCAGCTAAAGGCATGTTTTACAGTCTTTATAGTCCAGTTGATTAATCGATTATTAAATTAGTTGACGATTATTTCAATTATCGATTAATCTCGATTAATCTGACAAAATTGTTTCGGCCCTAGTTACATATATATCGCAAGTTTGGTGCCCATACAGCAAGCAATTAAGAAATTATAGATGTTTGGATTGAAAAAAATCCAGGCAAATATTTATTGTGCCATTTTTGAAAGATTTGGCACAAATGCTAATATTCAGATTTTATTCTTGAAATTGAAACTTTAGGATGCTATTATATATCTGGTTATAAAAATACAAAAAATCCTCCCAAAAATCAGAAATTTTTATTAGGGGGGCCACATGCCGAAGGCATGGCCCACCTATTACTATTGCACATATTTATTAGGGGGGCCACATGCCGAAGGCATGGCCCACCTATTACTATTGCACATATTTATTCCGCGTATTATTATTATAGCTTATAGTTCTCCTCGTCCCCTAAAAACTTCGGCGTGTAACTAGTCACGCACCATTCGTCGGATCGGGCCCAAAGTTGGCACACGCGTAGGGACCAATGGTGCGATGCGTGCTTGTATAAAACTTTCTCATTAGTCCGAAGGTTTGCGAATTATTAGCGAAAACGTCGCAAAAAAAATCCCATAGGAAATGAATGGGGAGAGGGAAAAAAAGCATAAAAAACAGCACCTCACTGTGTCGGCATACATTCATGTAGAAAAACAGTTTAAAGCTCAGTTTGTAGATAAATCCTTCGTCTATTTAAAACTGAAGACGGTATGTTGATAACTGCTACGGTTTTTGTATAATCAGACCTCAAGCGCCACAAAGTTTTAGCAAAATCCACCCTTCTAGAGTGGAGAGACTGAAAAGCTAGAGTGTGAGGCAGCCGTTTTTTTAAGACCAAAAAACATTTTAAAATCGCCCTCACGGCCACATATTTATAGCTAGAGTCACCATTTTTGGTCAGTTTGTAGGCTGAAACCTCTGGACTCACACAATGTCTTCAGAATTACGGTAGGATTAATACTTTTCCTTAAAAACGCTCCAGACCGACCTAAAGTCGATGAAAATCAGAGCCGTTTTTCATTGGTTTTGGAGCAGCAGTGGGGAGAAAAACGAATGACATTATATGTTTTCAACTCGTCATAAATATTTTTCTGAAAGACACACATACACCAAAGTTGGCATAGTTGGAGTCGAAGGATGGCTGACGCTCACGGTGAAAGAATTTTTTGAATAACTCATACGGTTTTTGCTCAGCAGTCGTTTGTTCGGAGGACATTTTAAGCACCAGAAAGCTGGGTGAGAGGGACCTGCTGCAGCTAGCTCAATTAAAAGATCAGGTGTGAGAAAACGTTTTGTCTTTTTCTTTCTCTTCCCATTCAGGTTGTAGATGACCTACAGCCATGAAAGTTACTCCAATTGAAGACAAGATATAGCTGTCGCTTAGATAAAAATAATTTTTCAGATATCATTTATGGTTTTTACTCAGCAGTCATTTGTTCGGAGGGGGGCTTTAGCAGCTTAAAGGTGAGTGAAAGTGTGTTGCTGCAGCTAGCTCAGTTAGAAGCTAAGGACTGAGGACCCGTTTTTCTTATTCTTTCTCTTCCCATTCAGGTTGTAGATGACCTACAGCCATGAAAGTTACTCCAATTGAAGACAAGATATAGCTTTAGCTTAGATAAAAATAATTTTTCAGATACCTTTTATGGTTTTTACTCAGCAGTCATTTGTTCGGAGGGGGGCTTTAGCAGCTTAAAGGTGAGTGAAAGTGTGTTGCTGCAGCTAGCTCAGTTAGAAGCTAAGGACTGAGGACCCGTTTTTCTTATTCTTTCTCTTCCCATTCAGGTTGTAGATGACCTACAGCCATGAAAGTTACTCCAATTGAAGACAAGATATAGCTTTAGCTTAGATAAAAATAATTTTTCAGATACCTTTTACGGTTTTTACTCAGCAGTCGTTTGTTCGGAGGGGTGCTATAGCAGCTTAAAGATGACAGAGTGTGGTGCTGCAGTTTAAACAAAGGGAGGAGCAGGTGGGATCAGCCATTTTGTTTGTGCTTCGTTTTGGGTTGTGAAAGACCTACAGACATGAAGGTTACCCCAGTCTGAGACAAAGGATAGATGTTTCTTTCACTGAAAGAATTTTTCTAATACCTTTTACGGTTTTTGCTCAGCAGTCGTTTGTTCGGAGGGGTGCTATAGCAGCTTAAAGGTGACAGAGTGTGGTGCTGCAGTTTAAACAAAGGGAGGAGCTGGTGGGATCAGCCATTTTGTTTGTGCTTCGTTTTGGGTTGTGAAAGACCTACAGACATGAAGGTTACTCTAATTGAAGTAAAGATATAGCTGTAGCTTAGATAAAAATAATTTTTCAGATATCATTTATGGTTTTTACTCAGCAGTCCTTTGTTCGGAGGGGGGCTTTAGCAGCTTAAAGGTGAGTGAGAGTGTGTTGCTGCAGCTAGCTCAGTTAGAAGCTAAGGACTGAGGACCCGTTTTTTCTTATTCTTTCTCTTCCCATTCAGGTTGTAGATGACCTACAGCCATGAAAGTTACTCCAATTGAAGACAAGATATAGCTTTAGCTTAGATAAAAATAATTTTTCAGATACCTTTTACGGTTTTTACTCAGCTGTCGTTTGTTCGGAGGGGTGCTATAGCAGCTTAAAGGTGACAGAGTGTGGTGCTGCAGTTTAAACAAAGGGAGGAGCAGGTGGGATCAGCCATTTTGTTTGTGCTTCGTTTTGGGTTGTGAAAGACCTACAGACATGAAGGTTACCCCAGTCTGAGACAAAGGATAGATGTTGCTTTCACTGAAAGAATTTTTCTAATACCTATTACGGTTTTTGCTCAGCAGTCGTTTGTTCAGCAGCTGTTCCTCCCATTCAAAAAAGCCTGAGAGCTAAGGAACGATAGTGCTGCGCTTTTTTTTCTGTCACTGACAGGCTCGTTAAGCGTTGTCAAGGTAACCGTGCTTCAAACAGATTTTACCTCTGCTGTTTTAAACAGCACATATTAATCTAATGGAGGGTGAAAGCACTGATTTAACATTGGAAAATGGACACTATATGACTGCTGTCCATGACACTTCCCTTGCCACTCAACACTGATAGACTTTCAAAATAAGACTCCAGGGACCCTACAAAATAAAAGCCTCTATATTTTTTACATATATTTATTGCCCTATATGGCTCAACATTATGACCCAAACTCAACCCCATTTTAGAGAATAGACTCTAGGAGACTGTTTAAAACACACCCTATGGCAAATTTCAAAATAAAAGCCTCCCATTTCCGCTTCATCTACTGCCCTAATAACATGGAAAAAGAGTGATTTAACGATTGGAAAGTCATCAACTATGATTGCTGGGTCTGAACATTTTCTCTAAACACAACTCTGTTGGACTTTCAAAATAAGACTCCAGGGACCCTACAAAATAAAAGCCTCTAGATTATACTAATGCAATAATTGATGCAAATGGCTCAACATTATGACCCAAACTCTTCCAGGTTGTTTTTATTAGACTCTAGTGACCTTTTCAAAACACACCCCAGAGCAAATTTCACAATAAAAGTCTCCCATTTACTCTGTAATACAGCAGCTATTCACCTAATAACATGGAAAACCAGTGATTTAACATTTGGAAATGGATTCTATATCACTGCTGGGCATGACCCCTCTTTTGATGCACATCCATGATAGACTTTCAAAATAAGACTACAGGGACTCTACAGAATAAAAGCCTCTTCCTTATACACACTCATACATTCTGGCATATTGCTCATAGCCATTTGTAATTTCATCACTGCAATGGCTCTGAGCATGCGGGCGGAGCCCGCCATTGGTGATTTCATCACTGCAATGGCTCTTAGAAGGCGGGCGAAGCCCGCCAATGGTGATTTCATCACTGCAATGGCTCTTAGCAGGCGGGCGGAGCCCGCCATTGGTGATTCTTTTCATCGCTGCAAGGGCTCCTAGCAGGCGGGCTAAGCCCGCCAACTGCGCTTTACCCACTGCGGTTCAATATGGACAACCCATATTACCCTTGTGCATCATATGCTGTGCACGTCTATTTCCCAGATTTCAGTACAAGTGGCACACAGCTCTCTTTGCCCATGACCTAGCCCTCTTTGCTTCCCTCAGCAGCCCTCAAAGGCGTAAGCAGCCCCAACGTCACTTGCCAGGGCCGTATTGGCCCAGTTACCCAGACGGGCAGTAGGTGGCCCCCCTCAAAATTTCTTTAGAAATTTTCTAGTTTCTTTTATCACTCTTTATTTACACAATGAAATTCACACTATAAATCCAAAGTTAGGTTGTAAAAAAATGAATGAGGGCTCATGGGCGTATCTAAATAACCGTTTGTCCAATCAGGGAGCTTCGTACCTCTTTGGAAAGCTTTCCACAGAATCCAATGAAATGCACCAATTTGTCAGAACCCCCAGTGAATTAAAAGTGAGAGTAGCAGAGGTATTTGTGATTTACATGGTAACAGATTTAAAATATGGGCATGTTGTTGTAGCGTAATCCAGAGAGTAGTTTTTTTTCGCTGGATATGAAGCTATCGGTTGGATATATTCCAGAAATTGTCTTTTTTTGGGATGAAAATATCTTTTGATGAAAACAACAGCAAAGGTAGGCTTGTCAGTTCCAGAGTTAGTCAGATACAAGCTTATTATTGTTGTAAAATAGCTCCAGCTGCCTTGAAAGGGGACGCTCGGGCTTAAGGGGGTGGCTAATTATTCAGACCCTTTGAGAAGCGACTAAATAAATAAAAGTTAAACCAAGAATGCTCAACTGCACTGCTGCCTTGCAGCAAGAAGGTTCTGGGTTCGATTCCCAGCCCAGGGTCTTTCTGCATGTTCTCCCTGAGCATGCATAGGTTCTCTCCGGGTACTCTGGCTTCCTCCCACAGTCCAAAAACATGACTGTTAGGTTCATTGGCTTCTCTAAATTCTCCTTAGGTGTGAGTGTGTGCGTGAATGGTTGTTTTTCCAGTTTGTCACTGTGTTGCCCTGCGATGGACTGGCGACCTGTCCAGGGTGTACCCCGCCCATACACAGCTGGAGATGGGCACCGGCACCCCTCACGACCCCACTCGGAATAAAGCGTGTCAGATAATGGATGGATGGATGGATGAGTGCTTAATGTATTTTACCAGGGTTGTGTGTGACTGCTCCCCACATGTTATTACATAACTGTAAAGTAGTGGGAAAATGACACATGGTTTACAAGATATATGGGCAAAAACAGTCAGAAGAGTGTGGTTTCTTATTCTGCCTTCTTGTTTCAATTCTTTGTAGAATCTCTTATTAACACCATGACAGCGGCAGGGTTAAGCAAGCCTTCTCTCACAGCTCAGATTCTACAAAATGACATTTTTTAAAATAGTTCAAGCCTGGTCAGATGGGACAGAGGATCTGTGAACATCAATTTTCAGGCCTTCCTACAGATTCTCAGTTGTATATCAGTCTGGACATTGACTGGGCTGTGCTAAGACAGGAAACTACTCAGAAAAACCCAAGCAAGTCTTTCAGGGAAGTGAATCTTTTCCCAGCCTTTAGGCACTGACAGGTTTTCTCCGAGGCGTCCACTTCTGACAAGCTTCTCTGTTTCAAAAGAAAAGGATCATCTCAGTAAGATGCTGCCACCACCTTCAGGATGAGGTTTTAGCGACATGCATTATTTTGTTATTCAACTTGAGTTACTATTATTAATAAAGGCTTTTTAAATTTGAATTGAATAAATTCTCTGCAAGAACGTTTTTTTCTTTTACATACAGTCCAATAAGTTTATTGTTAACCTTTTCTTATTGGGACTCCTTCCAGACAAACTGGATTTTTATTCCAACAATAATTTTTCTCTTACACCTTTTTTTATGATGATCAGATTTATGGCGTTCAGCCCTAATTCCTCTCCTGCAACAGATTCGATCCACCTGAGCAGTGGATCCCTGCAGCTCCTCCAGAATTAAATTCTGTTAGCTGCTTGTTCAATTAATACTCTCTAAATCTAGCTTCGCAGCCATTTCTTGGTAGATTTGTGATCAAATTATATCCTTTCTATTTCAGCGATGAGAAATTCATATTAAAGGAGAATTCCGGTTTTTTACACTTTAAGCCCATTTTCTGTAGTGTCCAGGATGAAATCGAATGATCGACACCAAAAGTTTGACAATTGGTCCTGTCTCTGCTTTTTGGCTCATTTAGAATCCACCCCTGGCTGCTTCATAATGGCTGCCATAGTGCATGTCCGATAATGTCCTTAAAACAACCTTAAACATTCTTTTTTTAAAATATGCTACTCACCGTGTCGTCAGCGCTGTTCAATGACATTCCAAAAAAAGTTTCGTGAAGAAAAAACGTTCCTGTAGTGTTTTATTTAGCATTTTGTAAATCCCATTGAGTTCTGTTGGAATAGTCAATATTCCCCTGCCACCAGAAACGGAAATGGGGCCTGTTTACACAGTTGTAGTCTTTTCGCTTCACTCTGTGTACTCCGACGTCGAGAATCAAGAATCCACCTTTCGTATTCCATTTTCAGAGTTTTTTAAAGTGTTTAACAGAGACGTTAGCACCTCGACGTCGGAGTACACAGAGTGAAGCGAAAAGACTACAACTGTGTAAACAGGCCCCATTTCCGTTTCTGGTGGCAGGGGAATATTGACTATTCCAACAGAACTCAATGGGATTTACAAAATGCTAAATAAAACACTACAGGAACGTTTTTTCTTCACGAAACTTTTTTTGGAATGTCATTGAACAGCGCTGACGACACGGTGAGTAGCATATTTTAAAAAAAGAATGTTTAAGGTTGTTTTAAGGACATTATCGGACATGCACTATGGCAGCCATTATGAAGCAGCCAGGGGTGGATTCTGAATGAGCCAAAAAGCAGAGACAGGACCAATTGTCAAACTTTTGGTGTCGATCATTCGATTTCATCCTGGACACTACAGAAAATGGGCTTAAAGTGTAAAAAAACGGAATTCTCCTTTAAGAGTAAAAGGAGATAATATTTATAAATGCAACAATTCTCAGGGTTTTATTTGTCAATTTGCTGAAAAAACATGCATCACTTTCCTTACATTTTAAAATTCTGTGCTCCTATTATTTTGGTCTATCACATAAAATCACCCAAAAGAGGAAATATTGTGGTTATAGACTAAAACAAGCCTTAAAAATGTACTCAGGTGTGAATACTTTCGTCCCAGAAATGCATGAGGAAATTTGGCAGCAGTCTGGCCTGAATTGTAACATCTCTAATGGAAATAATTCAGTGTTGATGCAGCTTTTCATGCACACTTACAATACTTTGTTGACAGAGGCGGAAGAACTGCTGGACCTTTTGAGACATGAGCATCTGGGCGCTGCCAACCGCATTTCGAATCAGCTCAAGAGCTAAGAGAGAGAGAGAGAGAGATGGTGGAAATACAGTTGAACCAAAAAGCAAAAACAAAACATTTCCTCAAACTTACCCTCTTCTGGAAGTTCATTCTCTTCAGCCTCCCGCTCCATGTTCTGGCACCAGCCTTCCATCCTTTCCACCTCCGTCTGCAGGAGTCTTAGGAAGAACTCGCCGTCCCTCATACAGGGCGAGGCCCGACCTGAGTCTGGGAGGCTGCGCGGGCCCTCCAAGGACGGTGTCGCCGTCCAGGCTCGCTCTGAGGTAATCGGCAGAGGGGAGTGGGAGCGGGGAGGCAAGTGCGGGTGCTGGTGGGACCTTGTGTCTACTTCAGCGGCGTAGTTACCCTGAATAAGGTCCTGGACGAAACATAAGAGAGCATTGCTTTTAGAAATTACATTTTATTCTGAAATGAATCACCTGATTTTTTAAACATAAAATCCACCTCATCTTAAAATATTTGAACGACAGCATTAATATAAATCAACTACAATAAAGTGCAATATCAGGCAGCATTTTTATGTGTCCATAAAAAATGCCAATGAGGTAATTAACCCCTTTGTTTCAGATTTGCTGGAGCAGGATTGCACTCAAAGTCTGCAGAACTGTGGCGTTCGAGGACAGACATTGCCTGCCCCTGTTCTATAACACCAAAAGGACAAATTCATGTTAAGAGAGTTATAATTTTGATTAAAATAAAATCTGACAATCTAAATTCAGGTTATGGCGCCCAGGAGTCAAAGATCTAGGTTAGATTAAAAGTAAGAAATTTAGGACTCACCCTGAATATATTCTAGTTTCTTAGTGTTAATGCAAACAAATCAATTAATAAAGGAACATTTATGAAGAAAAAATATGTTACACTTATGTTTTTAATTTATCATAAGGAAAAAATTGCAAAATTGTTCAAACTGTTATTTGTCTTTTTATGGTAACATATTCAAATTTGTTTTTATTTTCAAAGCTCAAAGAACCCGCAGTGACTTTAGCTGAAACTCATTTTGATTATGGACATTAAAACCGAAATAAGATTTGAGCAAATGGATGCTTTATTATATGTATATATATATATATATATATCTATATATATATATCTATATATATATCTATCTATCTATCTATCTATCTATCTATCTATCTATCTATCTATCTATCTATCTATCTATCTATCTATCTATCTATATATATATATATATATATATATATATATATATATATATATATATATATATATATATCTATATATATATATATATATAATGAGTTTGGTGCCCATACAGCAAGCAATTGAGAAATTATAGATGTTTGGATTGTTTTAATTTCTTTTATCACTCTTTATTTACACAATGAAATTCACACTATAAATACAAAGTTAGGTCTTAAAAAAAATTAATGAGGACTCATGGGCATATCTAACTAACCGTTTGTCCAATCAGGGAGCTTTGTACCGCTTTGAAAAAAGCTTTCCACAGAATCCAATGAAATGCACCAATTTGTCAGAACCCCCAATGAATTAAAGTGAGAATAGCAGAGGTATTTGTGATTTACATGGTAACAGATTCCAAATAAGGGCATGTTGTAGGAGCGTAATCCAGAGAGAAGTAGTTTTTTTTTGCAGGATATTAAACTATCGGTTGGATATATTCCAGAAATGGTCTTTTATTGGGATGAAAATATCTTTTGATGAAAAAAACAGCAAAAGTAGGCTTAAAGGTAGGAAAAAATATCCAAATTGTTCAGTTATTTGTCTTTTTATGGTAACATACTAAAATGTTTTATCTTTATTTTCAAAGCCCAAAGAACCTGGAGTGACTTTAGCTGAAACTTATTTTGATTATGGACATTAAAGCAGAAATAAGATTTGAGCAAATGCATGCTTTATGTCTCTGCATCTGTGCATAAAAGACATATCAGAGATCTGACACTTTGCTGCTTATAAACTTATAAACTGCACTATAAACTGAGAAAGACTTCTGTGTGAAACTTTGCAAGGTTAAAAAAATGTAAAAAAAAAAACAGTTTAAAGGTGACAAGGTATATGATGTATATATGTAAAATATTTAAGACCCTTTAACTCATTTACTCTTTTTTTTTTTGTTAGTGCCAAGAGCTGAAATGTGTAATAAACAGTAAAAAATGTTTAACAAAAGAAAAACTTTTAATGTGCTTTACAACATACAACCAATTATAACTACAATTATAACTGATTCACTCACAGGCTGATTTTAATTATTTAATAATTATAATCAATTAACTGAGTAAGTAATTCATTTAAAAGTGAAAAAAAAACCATTTAGAATTAGAATATTACATCAGACCAACAAAAGAAAATGTATCTTTTAATTCATACACATGGGCTTTAAGATAACATTTATTTTCAAAAAGCCCTTTTTAAATGGTAAACAAGCCTCATTAGAATAATTATTCTAGTTTAGTGAATATAAATGTATAACATACAGATAGTCAAGAGCATCTGTTAAAAAAATATTATCACTTTTACATCAGATTTTGGTCTGGACTTTCTATCACCTTCCTATACTTTGATCTTAAACTTCTATTTCTAGCTCTGGCACATATTTCCACACTTGTTGTGGTTCTTATGTGGCTTGTATCAAACTGCAAACATAACTTTTGTTTCCTACAAATGCTTTCTTCCTGCTAGTCTTTCATAAAGAGCAGATTTTAGCGCATGCTGTACGGTTGTCATGTCAACAGATTCTCCTACCTGAGGCGTGGATCTTGGCAGCTGATTGGCTTCAGCTCTGGTTAATACCAGCCAGATTAGGTGCATAGCCACGTCTTAGTTGGTTTACAGTTGTTCAGTTTCTATTTTTGGATGATGGACAGAATCATCATCTGTGAGAGGCTCATATATTGGTGTTTATTTAACCTGATAAAGTCTCAAATCTTTTGTTGGTCTATCTCCTCCCAATAAGACCTGAGCTGGTTTGACGGGCATAATAATTTTTGCATATACTCTGCTACCAAAAATGAAAAATAAAGACATTTAGCTTTCATTTGGAGGAGTTCTGGCATTGACCCACCTCTCTGTAAGCCCATTGGCCCTGTGTGTGGACAGTGCGGTGGCACTCTGTGTACTGCGATGCAGACTCGGGCTCTGATGAATGCCTCTGGAAGGAGCAGCCAAACTGAAGACTCTTGTCCTGCGTTGGAACAGCAATGCTAAGCCCTGGGAAGCCCTCTGGGTCCAGGTCGGCCTGGACGCTCGCTGTCACGCTGTTGGAGCGTTTGAATTGTGCCCGCCTTGCAAGAAAAAAGGAGACACGACAGGCTTAGAGCCATCTGATCAAACAGTATCTCCCTGTCTCAATTTTTTTTCCCCCCAGCCTTCTTTTAATTCCACCTTCCAAAGTGAGTGCTGTCACGGCAATCACCGCTACTCGCCCGGTTGTGATGAGTCCCGCTAAATCCTTTGGCATATGACGCATCGGTGCGTGCAAATGTCACGCCAGTGTGCTCACTGATGAGTGTTTACACTGTTGCAACTTTAAACCCCACCTTCCCCTCATCTGTCTCTGCAGTCTGTTCAAGTCTGCAGCGTGACTCAGATTCACACCACCAGGTGCGGATGTCCTGATGCCATCTTCAGTGAACGGGGTTCAGAGTTTTAAACTTAGGCGATGATGTGAGCGATCAAATGCATGTAAGCAGAGCTGGATAAAATAGGGAGAAGCGCTGAGTCACGTGTGAAAGCCATGTTGAGTGTATGGATTGCTGTAGTCATGGTTACACTCATGGATAAGAAAAAAAAGAAAAGAGAGATTCTTGGAACAAAGTGTTCACGCTGTGCTGTTTGATGAAATCTTAAATGCATTAATTGGACATAGAGGAGAAATCAGCCGTACATGTGGCTGCACCGTCGGGCGCACAGGAAGATGGGGGCTTTTTCTGAATATAATGCAAAATTATTCACATAAATTACAGCACAAAGACCATCCGTTCTTGATGAAGCCACATATTTTGGAACAAAGCTAAATTAGCGGGTAAACGAACACCCTGCTCTGAGTTTGCAAGAGGAAACTTAAATGTCACCAAAACAAGTCAAGCTGGGAGAAAGTTCTGCAATTGAATACATTTTTTGTTTTGCTGCTTTGTGTTTTTCATTTAATGCACTACATTTGTTTTACCTTTTCTCATCTTCCACTTGGACTCCTATAGAGTGAACCTCAGTGAGAGTCTTTCCCTCTGTGTCTGAATCTGACAGAGTCTCTGAGCTGTCCACCTGGAACAGAAATGGACAGGTACCACAGTCAGGATGTAACAGAGGTGGCCTGTAGCAAACATTTCCTGCAAGGAATAAAAAGAAAAGTGACATGTCTATGGAAAAGGGGAACATCTTATCACACCGTGTAAAGGAAAAAGAAAACAGCAGTTGACATCTGTTTGTTGTCAGACTAAAAAGGTGTTCAGAGAATTTTTACTTGAAGTTTTATCTTCAATATTTTAAATTGTTGGACATCTGTCACACATGGATAGTTTCATGCCAAAGCAGGCATTACGTTTAAACTAGTGACTGCTATCAATAGTAACTGTTTAGCAGTGGTAGCAAGATAATACCAGAATAAAATAGACAGTAGAGATTATGCAGAACAGCCCTGCGATGGATTGGCGACCTATCCAGGGTATACCCTGCCTGTTGCCCATTGACTGCCGGAGATAGGCAGCACCCCTCGCGACCCCACTCAGGATAAGCGTGTCAGAGTTGGTAGTTAAAGATAATGGATGGATGGATTAAGCAGAACAATGGAATTAAAAAGCAGTATCTGTCTCCTTCACCACTTTACACAGAAGAGCATTTTCAGCATCAAAAAGGCGGCCAACGCCTAATCTTGAACTCTTGTGCACACTGAGGTTAGATGCATTTTGAGAGTGTTTTTGATAAATCCCTCAGAATTTCCGTGTAAACAGGACATCCCTGATCGCATTGGCGTGGTCCTTTTTATCAACCTTCTATGGTCTAGATCAGGGATAACCAATTAAAAATAAAGAAAATCGTCAACCAGTAAAGGTCCGGAGACATTTTTAATGATCTCTTACTTTAAACATAATTTAACACTGAAATACAATGGTGGGTTTATGCATCCATGTTATACATTGAATTTTTAAATAAAAAAATATAAAGAAAAAAATTTAAAATTTTTCCTTTTTAAAATCTAAAGTGTTTTTTGAAGTAGAGAAGAACAATCTTTTAGTTTGGTATATAGACAATTTCCTGACTCACATTTTTTATGTGACGGTTTGTTTTCTGTCTTAATGAGAGCAGTGGGCTTTATGCTGCCCTGCAAGGCTTTAAACCTGGGTTTGAATGCAGACAAAGCCATTCTAAAGCACGTATCAAGATGCTCATTTCAAGTCTGGATCCATATTTATTTTTGATTCTGTTCACGGAGAACCCTGCTTCACAGCAGCAGGTTGAGCCTCAAAATGTTCAGGCTCCGCTCCAGTCCCGCCAGGTCAAGATCCGCTATTGCAATTGCACCAAACAGGGAAAAGAACTGCGAGAAGATCCGTTTCGTCAAATTAAAATATAGTAACAACAGATTGGTAACTACAAATTAGAGCATAATTCTTCTATATTTCAAACAACTAACACCGTTTATTTAAAAGATTGGATGCAAACTATTGGTATTTCAAGGCACCAGGAAGCAGATTTCTCATCTCCATCAGAAATCGCACATGTGCTGGATGCTGATGAGGATTTTTCTAATGTGTCATATTTAAATTAAACTTTCATTTCTACATGTTTTGCTCCTATGAATTTAATGATAATATCGCGCATGCTCTCCTCAAGCTCCTAGGAAAAGTCGGAACGCAGCAGGACGGGAAGAACAGCGGAGGCTGTAGGTGTTGTGCAGGAGGTCTGGAGCCCTGCAGGGCGGAGCGGTGACGGAAGATGGGGGATTTCTGGGTAACAGGAGAAGTGGCGCAGGTGACGTTTAGACACTGTCGTCAGACAACATATAATTTATAAATGTTATAAATCAGGTTGGGTCCGGATTAGCCAGCAGGTGGGTCCGGATCTGGACAACGTCCGCTAATCCATGACCTCTGCTCTAGATCAGTGATTCCCAGCAGGGGGTAATCATGCCCCTAGTGGTCAGCGATTTTATTGCAAAGGGTACATGAACATATTTTATTTCTTGGCTAATAAAATTAAATAGGGCTAATGTGTCATAAATGATGAAAACTAAACAAAGTAAAAGAAATGAAAGAAAATATAATTTTTGTTTAGTATTTGGTTCCCAATTATATAAGTGATTATAAAGGGTTAGTCAGAGGACCTATAATTATATATAGATAGACGTAAAGTATGATTTTATTTTGTATTTATTTTGTTTCTTTCTAGCCTCCGGGCCCCACATTTATGTTGGTTTTTTTATTTGAGTTGGAATAAATAAAATTCCAAAGAATTAACAGCTCAAGTTAAAAAGACTTAATAAAATACTTTTTCATTTAATAATTAGTTTGTGTAAATTTCACTTTTGGGCAGTCATCAATACTTTTGAATGAGAGGGGGACTCGTGGTTCGACAAAATGCCCAAAGGGGCACACTAGACAAAAGTTTGGGAACCACTGTTGTACATTGTACAGGTACTTAACCCTTAGGTTAACTGATGGAAAGCTGAGTGGGTTTCTACTACCAAACCAGTAGAATCTACAAAATCCGAACCTGTCAGATGATATGAAGTAGGCTAAAGAGATTTGAACAAACAAATGAAAAATCGATAAAAACAACATTTGAAAACTGAATTTTCTATCTACTTACATCGTCTTTGCTGATATTAAATGGTGCTTAATCTGAAGGGTTTAACTTAAAAATAATAAATAGCTAAAAGGTGGAAAATATTTTTGACATCACCACCTGCATTTATTGCTCTTTCCTAAAAACAAACAATCTGCCACACACACTCAGTCTCACCTGCACAGCGATGGACGGCCTCCACTTCCTGCCCCCACGTCCGTCATCCTGCCCTCCGACTTTGCTCAGTATCATGTTGTTCTGAGGTAGGGAGGACGACTTCCCCAGCCTGCCACCAACCCTGCTGTCCCTTTCTCTTGCTGGCCTCGGTGGCCCCTCCAGCAGGCTGTCTGCTGAGCAGCTATGTTTGGCCCTCACTCCCGGACCCCCTCCATAGGGCACCAGCTCCCTGGAACCCCTGACCCCATCCAGGCTCTCAGCAGAGTTACTGTGCTGACGGGAACGTCCTGGGCCACTTGATGTGTAATAGCTCCCCCTAGAGGTTCGCCCAGAGGGCCCATCGGGGCCACCGAGGTCTACAGAGTTGCTGTGCTGCTTGGGACGCCCTGGGCCTTGAGTCATTTGTCCGCCGCTCTGGAAGTAGGCGTCCTGGGTGGACTCGGTACTGCTTTGAGCTCGCACCGACAGAGAAGACTTTGACATGCGAGGTGGTAGTGGGGGAGGAGCACCTTTACGATAAGGAAAGACTGAAGTGTAACAAGAGCAAGGGAAAAGAAGACAGAGGTATCGGAGGTTAAGAGCTAAACATGTCAAACAGGAGAGGGGTGGGTGGATACTTACAGAAGGGACAGACTGAAGGGAAAAAAGTGACAAGAGTGGAAAAAAAGAGGGAATTTGAGAAAACCATCAAAGAGAAAGAAGGAGAAAAAATGGAGATCATTAAAAAAGACAATTCAGTCTGCTTCTCCAAATAACAGCTTTAGTAGAATTCCTTTTCATGAAGAAATACACAGCGCTCTGTATCAATTCCAGCAAAAAGCAGAGAGCAAAGCAGCCGATATGACAGAGGTAGCAAAGGTGACAACAGAAAAGCTCTTCCCGTGGGCTAACCTTTATTCAGCAGAAGTTAAAGCAATTGCCTGAAACAGATACTAAAAGAAATCCATACGTTTCACTTTCATCCTCCTTTCTTTTGCCTCACCCTTACCATCTGTGTGAGCAGCTCGTTTATTTTCAAAGTGTAAAATATACTAACTGAAGCTCCAACCTCCCTTGGGTACGCCTGTCTGTGCTGTGGAGCTATACGTGCGCTGCATGAGTGTTTGTGCTTGATGTAGATGATACTTTGCTGCGCTTTTAATAAATCGCCTGGGATTTACTGGAAGCCGGGAAACTGGTATCCTGCAAGGGACTAAACAATCTCCGATGCGCAAACAAACATTAACAAATACATGCAGCCTACAAAAATCACCAATTACCTGAGTAATGTATGCGTGAGCAGGGCCTTGAACTTTTTCCTAATTTTTTTCACATTACAAACACAAACTTTATCACATTTCATTAAGAATTTATGTGATGAACATGAAGTGGTGCCAACCTGTGACATTATACATAAAAATTATACATTTAAAAAAGAAGTGTGGTGGGAAATGGCATTCAACCCCTCTTTTCTGCAATTACAGCTGCAAGTCTTCTTGAATGCCTCTCTACCTGCTTTGTACATCCAGAGCCCAAAAACTTTACCTCTACAGTTTTGTATAAGCTGAAGGGGCCGCCTTTTACAGCTGCTTTTTGTATCTCTGCTTCTGTCTCCTTGAACCCCAGTCAGCCTCGGCAGATGGCCGCTCACACTGAGCCTGGTTCTGATGGAGATTTCTTCCTGTTAAAAGGGAGTTCTTCCTCTCCACTGTCGCTACAAGCATGCTTAGTGTGAGGGATTGCATTTGAGTCAATGAGTCAATGCAATCAACTGGTTTTCCTTAGATAGACAACTTTGAATCAATTTGACTGTATGATCTGGTTGAACTATAAAGTGCTTTTAGATAACTTGTGTTGTGAATTGGCGCTAGGAATATACTGAATCGAATTGAAGCTAAAGCAGATTGACTGGAGATTTATAACTGCAATAAGATCTAAACTTTCAATAGGCCATTCTAATCCATGGATATGCTTTAACTCAACACTTCAGCTGCATCTCCAGCTCAATGTTAAGGGTCATTTTCCTGCTAATGATGTTTATATCTCCTTCTCAGTCTTCAGTCTTTCGGAGCCTCTAAGCGCTTCTTTCCAGGTTAGTCCACAATTCTATCATACCGGTACTATCTTTATCCTCTCTGACCAGCCACTTCGTCCCTGCTGAGGAGAAGCTTCTCCACATAAAATGCCACAATGTTTCACAGTACATATTTGCTACAGGTCACGTGCAGGGTTAGCAGGCAAGCAATTATGTCCAACTTTGGCCTCAACTGACTGTTCTTTTATGTATGCTCTCTCCCATATGACTGTGAGCAAACTGTTAGCAGGACGTTTTGTGGATTCTCTTACACACCTTACACATAAAGTTGTAGACATTTGTTAGGAGATTATCCTGTGAATATTCAAAGCAGCTCAATTGTGCTCTTTTTTACTGCTTTTGTTTGTTTTGCTCTGTGATGGCCGCATGTGCAACCACACAACAAATGGTCTGGTAATTCTTTCAGCAAATCGTATATTTTACCGTACTGTATTTCATTTTTTTTTTTTTTTTTACTTTGATTTGACATTGGGTAACTATTTGGGTGCACACATTTAGTTGACTCATTCTGTCATTTCTTGCTTGTTTGGTTTTCTGTACATTAATATATTTTTCATTTGAGTTGCCAGTTCCTGGGAGGCTGTCATGAATGAAGCCAGTAAAGGAAAGGAGGCCCCAGCTGCAAAGGATCTCCTCATTGACATGGAGGCCTAGTTGGACTCTTCCATTTACTTTTAGAAGGGGTGTAGGAAGGGTTTAGGTTTCTGTATTTGGTTTGGTTTTCTATAATAAAATTTGGAAATTTTAATATTTCGGTCCTCTTCCTCATAGGTTGCTGAATTAGTATGATGCTGATTAGTTTGGTCTTTTGTTGTAGTTTTGTTTAGGAAAATGTATTTTATGTTTCCCTCTTGTTTCAAAATGGTCTGATCAACGAGTGTATATACCGGTATATGTTTCCCTTGTGTGTCAGTTAGGTAGGTCTTTTCCTGTGTCAGGTTTGGATTATGCTGATTTTTGTCATTTGTTTTCCTTGATGGGCCAAGTCTTGTTAGAAGTTTGAACTTTATTTTTTGGTTAATAAATAAAAAAAATTTTCATCAATGAATTCCCTGTGCTTCTCTGATTTTTTGCCTCGGTCCCTCACATGCTCTATAACATAAAATACTTTAAAGGTTGTGGTTCTTTATCTGACAAAATGCCATGAAATTTAACAGGAACAAACAGATACTAAATAGAGAGACAGCACTGAAGGTGACAAGGAAACAGGAAACAAGGCTAGACGAAAGACAATTGGAAACAGTGAGGCATCAGTAGACACTGAGCTACCATAATAACATGAGTGTTCCTGTACTATTACTGATCCTGAGAAACCTGTAATCAGAGATGCGATGGGAGAGATGAGAATATAGAGGTGAGGAGAGAAGAAAGAACATGAGCAATAACATGCATGCAAGTCTGTGCCTATGGCTTGCAAACGTACACAAACACAGGGGAGAAGGAGGCTAGGGTAAAAAGTGAGATCAAAATAGGCTGAGAGACTAGAGAAACAAAGAAGCTAAAAATGAAAAATAGATGCATGATCTGCACACAGCTGTGCAGCAAGTAAGACTGAAGGGTTATGTGTGGGTTGCTTTGGTTAAAGAGAACTGACAGGCTGTCATCAAATTCCCATCTCACTGCACGGCTCCCTCCAGGTTGCCGCCACATAAAAAGAGAGACGGACACACATAGAACTCTAGCTGCACACTCACCGGCCCCACCCTTGATGCTCCCCTGGGGGCCGGACATGGAAAAGACTGAAAGGCAGTCGTCGTCCTGGGAGCAGCCGGCCTGGATGGCGCGCACGTAGCTGTGACTGCGAGTGCGGAACACGCCGGGAAGATCGAGAGCTTCGACAGCCTGGGACTCCACCTCCCCAAACATGGTTTCACAGACCGTCTCGAACTGATGGTTCAATGTTTCTCCCAGCTTAAAAAAAAGGGGACATAAAGTGAGAGATGTGTCAATGAAGAGCAATGCAGAACCTCTGCAGGGTTTTCATACCCACAGTACTTCACATTTTTGTCACGTTACGATACAAATATTTTAATTTGAGGGCGAAATTACTCGATAAACAAACGCAAAGTATCTGTTATAATGAAGTAGAGTTCATATGGAGCTCATGATCATTTATATTCCACTCATTTTCTCTGATACCCTCGATACTATCTAGTTAATTCAACTGCTTTCAGGCCTCCAGCATTTCAGTCCAATTACAGCTGTTTGGTGAAAGCATCAAGAGCTTTTAGTTTATGAACACCAGCATCATGAGGACCATGGAACAGGAACTCTGGATGAGCTGAAGATACTCACAGCTCAGGTGGAAGACTACTGACAGGGATAACAATTAGCAGAGCAACCAACAAGTCTTGGCTTAGTGAAAGACAGTTCCAAGACATAATACCCAAAACAGTCCTGTTTGCAGTTTGCCAGAAACCGACAAATATAGACGAGGAGACATCGGTCAGATGTGGTTGACACTGAACATTTTGGACATTCATTAAATACAGTGGTGGATGAAGTAATTAACAGTAGTACTTGACTGAAAGTATTGATACTCATAGTCAAATCTTACCCAAATACAAGTAAAAATTACTCATTCAAACATCTACTCAAGTTTAAGTATTGAAGTATTCACCTTTGAAAATACTTAAGTATTCAAAACTAAAAATAAAATTTTCTAACATCAGTACATTTCTGTGTAATTTTAAAGAACCTTTCAGAAACCATCTCATATATTGATTCTTAGAACCACCTACTACAAAATCTACACCACCTGGAAAGAACTTTAGCATAAAAATGCAGCAAGAAATGAGAACACCTATTGTGATTATTTCTTATTTAAAAACAAACAAAAAATAAAACAAGTTTCTTTATTCTCCTCACACTTTCATTATGAAATAGAGGTTGAAGGTTGAATCTATTACCAAAAGAAAACCACAAGTCTGATTTGAGGACTTATTCTACTGAACAACTCAACAACTCAAGGCTTGATAAAATTAAAAAAATTAATACAAATAATATCTGCCCTGAGTTTGTCATGTTTGTGGAATGCCATGCAAATCTCTAAAATAGAATGTTGAGATTGCATTTCAAGAATGAAAAACAGGCAACAGTAGATTACAAACGGAAGCTGAGCCAAAAGTAACAATAACTAGCAGCTTTCTAGAAATGGAGTGGAGTGACAGTTATAAGTACAACCCCCCCACCAAAACATCATCCCCACCCTGAAACATGGTGGTGGCACCATCATTCTGTGGTGATGGTATACTTTAGTAAGGACTGGGAGGTTATCTATAGACAATCAACATAAAAACACAGGCCAGTGTTTGAAAGAAACCAAATGTTAAAAAGTTCCGGGGTATGAAAACAAACTTCATAAATGTTAGGATGTTTGTGAATAATGAGAGGCCATGTGGATGGAATAAGTTACCTGTGAGCTGGTAAGAGAACGTGTGTAACTACGAGAGCGAGTGTGGCTTTTGGGTGGTGCTCTGCTGTTCGGGATGGAATCCGTGCACTGCTTACAGGAGTACCTAAATGTAAAACAGAAAATCATATTTAAGAGTATAGTGTGCACAGTGACCCCCACCAACCAATGCAAAATTTCTTCTTTTTTAATGCCAGTATGGTACAGCCTAACACTGGCTGTAAGATCCTCAGCCGTTCACTGTGCTATACCTGTAAGTAATGTTTATGGCAAACATAAAACGCCATTTGGTTGGCCACAGCTATCACATAAATGTAATGAGTCGTGTTTAATAACTGTTGAAGCCTCAGTTGGTCAATGTTTTAAAATGCATCACTTTGTCAAATGGAAGCAAAACAAAAAGTAATTACTGTCAATTCTATTAAAACTATTCAAACTTTGTATTATTTATCATCTCACATGGCTAAGTTTCCTAATGTGGTTTAACTTTCTAATAATCTAAAGTTTATAAAGTATGAAAATAGCAAAAATATTGACTTAGCAGCAGTTATATGGATGGAGATCCCTTGTTTGTATAAGAAAATTGGTTCTTCATTGATAATATGTAGAACCTGAAAGGAACACGAACAGCTCAGATCCATTTTGAATTCCAATTAATGGTTCAGTTGGTGGTTGGGTTGTGGTGTGGTTGATATTTTTTTGTTGTTACATTGGTTTCCTAAAGTACCATCTAAGCATCAATTACACAGCAGCCTATCTTTATGACCACAGTGTACCTATCTTTTAATGGGTGAAAGTGGAGTTTTGCACCATTGAAATTACTGTCAACAAATGTCCAAATTATAAAATTATTGTGGCTCAGTCTTGCAATATTCAAAAACAGTTATGTGAACTTTCAAGCACAACTGCATTTGCTCACTCTTTGCAGTGATTACTGATTTAGCTCTTCTGTGGAGGCTTTCTACAAAGTTGAGAGCTGATTATAGGAAGTTCGTACTGAAGTAATTTTCTGGGGTTGAAGGTTGAACGTCTAATTTATCCCACACTTTTTCTTTGTGGTTGAAAGCAAAAGTCCAAGCTCGTCAGTCAAGCTCCTCTACCCCTAAAATTCTCGTCCACTTCTATATGGACCTTGCAATCTACAGTGGTGATATTGGAAGATCAAGTGAGCCATTCCTACTTCATATCCACAAAATGTCTTGCTATAATAAGGCATCAATAGCTCTTTTGATTGGAGTGAATGGGTCAAGCCCTAGTACTGAAAAACACCACAGTCCAATCTGCATCAAACCTTTATTTTAAACATTTAGAAGTTAAGCAAGTGCTCCTCTCTTAGGAGCAGCTAAGTATCTCTATTGGAGCCACAGAGAGATGTATGATCTGTCCCTTAACAGAATATGTCTCGGAAGTCCATTGGTGGGGTGCTTTGGATGACTCTCCGAAATTCTGTAGAGTACTTGGGGATGTGTAGCTGGAATACTGCTGTTCAGCCAATACAACTTTTCTATAAAGCTTCCTTAGTGTTGTTACAGATTTCAGTGCAATATTACAAACTGGAGTTATTCCAGCTTTTCAGTAGTTTTACATGACTATAAAACAGCAGCCATTCAAAATGGCCCTTCCCAGTCAAAAGCCAGCCAAATGGCAACAAAATCCCCTCCAACTTCCAGCCACTGGCCTTCTAATGGGCGTGCATAATTGTTTACTCTGACTCCAACCTTTCACTAAATTACACAGTCTGACCAGGAGATAACACTTTTCTTTAGATCTTAATGTCCACAAATCATGACAGAAAGAATATTTTGAATGGCTACCACTGTACGATGCAACATGTAGTCGAAAGCCTGGATGTGTATGGCACAATCAAGAACACAAGCATGAGCCCACTTGTGTTGAGGATATAATTTTAATTTAATTATACCAATGGAAGTATTTTTAGAGTAATTTCTTTTTTTTTCCAAGGGAAAAATGCCAGCTTACCACTGAAGATAATTTTTTCAGGCCTCCTGCCTTCCATAGATACATGCAAATGTTTGCAAATTTTACCATCTCACACATCAGGGTAGGTCGTTTTTTCCCCCATCCCCCTGCTGCTGAAGCAAGAGCAGCTTATATAGTCTTGCCTTTAAACCCAGAAAGGAGAAGCTGCAGACTATCAACAGTGACATAAATACTGTATTTGTGGTGTTTAACCTTGGATCCATGCTTATAGACCGTCTGAAGGCATCCCTCTGGGCGATCATGGTGGATTTGGGTGAGGCTTTAGGGCTCGTCTCTGAATCTGCGCTGTCATCATCACCCATGGCCTTGATGTAGCTGCCGCTGCGCATTCGGCGGCATGGAATCTCCCCTCCGCTGTCTGCTGATCCACCATACCTGCCTCCCCAGTCTTCTGAAGGGACCTAAAACAAATTTAGTGTCAGCCACATCCTCCATGGCAAAAGTAGCAACACATAGATCAAGAAAAAAGGTGTGATGAGTATTAATGGATAAGGTTATGGGGGTACTTTTATTGTTGTACTGAACAAAGTAAATGTGTTAAAAAAGATCAGCTCTGCAACAGCAAATGTTAGAGAAAAAAGCACACCATTCAAAACATAAATATGTTAGTTTTGATATTAATTATGTTTTCACAATATTTGTTAATGAGGTCTGAAGACAGAATCATATTTCTTTTCAGAAAAATATTTTGCACTCCAACCAGAAGGACAGTGATGACTCAGACATCAAGCACTCACCATCAGGTTGTAAAGGAAACACCAGCTGACCTTAATCATGCTTGTGAAATGCAAAATTGGCATGCTCGTGCATGTAAACGGATTCATTTAAAAATGCTTAGATGACGAAAGAAGAAAGAGAGAAACAGACAAAGAAACTTACAGAGAGAGAGAAACTCTGACAGCTGGAGAAACACTGACACAAAGAAACAGTAAAAAGCGTGAGCAAGAAGCCGACAGATGGAGAGATATTTGCGCAAAGAGGCAAGAGAAAAAAAGGGCACAAAGGACAACAAAATAGTGGCACACAGGGTGAGTGAATAATAAATCATAAATCATGAGATCGAAACTTTAATGGAGTCAGGTGGGAAAATATAAAAAAATACACACACAGGTAACCTGTTCAAGAATTGACATAGAGCAGGAAGATAACATTATTACTTTAGACTCTTTGACATATAAACGGTAAGGCTATAATAAACATATAGTTAACTTTTATAAACTAAAACTCCACAAACTATAATTACTAATCCAATTATATGGATAAACTGGAATGTAATCAATGTAGTTTGCTGTTTAAAAAAGGTAATCAGTTGATGCATGATGTGTTTGATGTGGTAATAGTGATATCACTTTTAATGTAAAAGAGAAAGTTCACACTAGGCAGCTGCGAACTCGCGTCAAAGTTGCCAAGGAGTGATGTAAACAGAGATGGGAAGTAATGAAGTACAAATACTTCGTTACTGTACTCAAGTAGATTTTTCTGATATTTTTACTTTACTTTACTACTTATTTTTATGGCGACTTTTTACTTCTACTCCTTACATTTGAAAAAATTGGCTCGTTACTTTAGTTTTGAATCATTTCAATTGAGTTACCGTTATTATTTTTCACGTCATCAATACCAAATTCAATCTAATTGGATGGGAATCTACGTTGCATTTGACGCACCACTACAAGATGAATCGACAGATTCGGCGGTATTCATTCGCGGCAAATCATTGTAGCTTGGTGGCGGTAGCGTTAGCATAGTAGCATGGACGACGAGATGATTGAAAATGAACACAACAGAGATCTAGTCCTATTGGCAGACATCCATTTAAAATGTAGGCAACGGCATGAAAAAAGTGGTTTCTACTTTTACTTTTATATTTTAAGTAAATTTACAAGCCTGTACTTTGTTACTTTTACTTGAGTAAAGAAGCTTAATCAGTACTTCCACTTTTACCAGAGTATTTTTTAACACAAGTATCTGTACTTTTACTCAAATACGGAAAGTGAGTACTTTTGCCATCTCTGGATGTAAATTAACATCAACCTCTCCAGGTTGAATAATTGCCGCCACGCAAACCTTTCTGCCATGCTGCGCTCCCACAGTTTGTCAGCTGCTGTACCACAGAAAATAAAACTTTACATTTGTTTTATGTTAACGACTCATACACCTCTCAGGTAAGACCTCCTATTTGGAAACTATACACAATCTTGTTTTTTTTCTAATCAGTGAATGACCCCCTTTATAAGAGACAAATGACATTGAAAAGGACTCTACAAAAGATTATCACAGGAAGTTGAAGAAGCAATGCGAGAATCTTGATACTACAGACAGTGATGCACTGTCAGCCACATGAAGTGGACATCAATGCCATAACTCAGTGCATGACTGACTTCATAGAGTTCTGTGTACATAACACCGTCCTTACAAGAACAGTGACAAACCATGGATCACCAGTAATCTAAAGTGACTGCTAAACAAGTCAAAAAGAGCCTTCAGGAAGGGAAAAAGAGAATTAATGAGGTTTTTATATCATGATCTCTGCAGTTTTGCTGGTCTAATTTCTCACAAGACCCACCTGCTCAGCTCCGCCCCCTTCTCGTTACCACTCGTGACCACTATCCACCTGCATCTATCAGTATATAACCCACCTTCGAACAGACATCAGTGCCAGATTATTTCGAGCTGTTGGTGACATTTATTTCAGCATTCTGCTCCTGACTTCCTTCCTGCCTGACCTCTCTGTCTCTTGACACACGAGCCTGCCTGAGCAAGCCTGACCACTGTCTGAGCTGTGAGCCTGCCTGTTACCAGACCTGGATGTGTACCCTGACTCTGCATCGGATTTCCTCTGGATGCTCTATGGACCTTGGATCACCTAGCTCTGACCCTGGGGCTCATCTCTGACGATGGTTCTGGAAATCCTGGACCTCTTGCAAGTCATGGTCATCACAGTTCTGATCCTCCATCTGTCCCTTGACCATCGAGTACCGGCAAAAGCCCATTTCAGGGTACCGCTGATCAAAGCCGGGATCGTTGGCATGCCTATCAACCAGGAAGAGCCAGCGCTCACTGTTCCCACCAGACCCTGTGAGAAGGTTAGTGACCATTACTATCTTTCCATCGTGTAGAGTTCATTTTAATAATAATAATAAAAATTGAACTTTATTGATCTCACATTTGAGAAATGTATCTCTGCACCCATCTACTTGGGGAGCAGTGGGCTGCCATTGTGTAGCGTCTGCGGAGCAGTATGGGGTTAAAGGTCTTGCTCAGGGAGCCAGAGTGCAGGCTGTGGGGATTGAACCAGGTGTTCCAACCTTCTCAGCGCACAACCGCACTGCTTTAACCACTAGGCCAACACCCCCCTGCTCAGCTGCCGTCTCTGCTTCCAGGGGTTCAAAAATAATGCAACCATTTTTGGCATTTACTTAATCATATTTAGTTTATTTAACACAATTATTTCATGTTAGCAGGGTATGAGGTAAAACAATTGTGTTAAAGTAACTAAATATGATTAAGTAAATGCCAAAAGCGCTTGCATTATTTTTTCAGGTGTTCCAGAAAGAGATGCTGATGATTACTCCATGACCTGCCGCAGTTTACTTTTTACTAAACTGTCTTTAAAAATCACTTGTTTGTTCCGGCTGAATTCCTTACTCTCTGATTGTAACAGTAAACAGAAAGAAACTTAAGGTCATGATAAGAACGAACAAGGAGGAATACAAGATGAAGCTGGAAAAGTAAGCTCCAGCACAACAATATCAGAACTGTTTAGTCAGGGATAAAGAAGAAATAACTGAATAGCAAAATAACTGAATACATTCTTTAATAGAATAAATTAAGGAACAAGCCCAGCATCCAGTCACATGGACATCCCACCCTCCTTTGACCCAAGGTGTCCCTCTCAGACCTCAAATGTTTCATATTTCACCTCTGCCATGGAGGGTGTCAGTCCCAAAGGCCTGTGCAGAGCTGCTCTGTGGTATTCTACGGCTTTTCTATACCCTTAGCCTGATCCAGGAGACAGTTCCAGTACCGTGGAAGACCTCCTTCCTTGTCCCAGAACTAAAGAAAACCCAGCCTCTATGACCTGACATCCCACAACATGGAGGTCCTAAAGAAGATAAGCTTCAGGTGAACCAACTTTCTGTTGATTCACCTGAACAAGCAAACAAAGAGCTATAAGGCCCCCCTGTAGTTTGCTTATTGCAGGGGAGCTGAAGTGGCCATCATACACTTGCTTCATTAACGCCACTGTCATTTAGTCAAGTAGTTAGCACTGTTAGGCTCATGTTCTTTAATTCCTCCAGTGGTTTGGAGGAAGAATCAACTTGGCTTACTTTGTCAGAAACTACAGAATACTCAGGTAGAAGCCTCAACAATTGCCTGGTTCAAAGACTACCTGACAAACAGACCACAGTTTGTTAGACTAAAGGGTCTAAGACTGAAATGTCTGATAAAGTAGTTAGCAGCAAAGGAGCATCACAGGGGATAGTTGGGGCTGGATGTCCCTTCAAGCTAATCCTAAATATGTGATTTCTGGAAGGGAAGATAATATTCTGATACTCAGCTTTATGTGAATCAGATATGAACAAAAAAACAAGTTGCTGCTTATTGTCAATGAAAATCAACTGACCTGAAATTACAGTTATTGGTTATATGTAAGACACTGTGATTGGCAACAAAACTCCTTATTTGATAAAAAAAAAAAAAAGTTACGAGGCCAATGAAACTAATTTCTTTTCTAAAAAAAACTTTTAGACTACAAACCACAGCCCCAATGGTCTGGCTGCCGATTCTACTAACCATCAATTCCCTAATCAAAAAACCTAATATTAGGTTTTAGAATTAAAAAGTCAAACCACTTTCAAACAGATGTTTACCTGTTTCTTATGTTTGATCGGTAAAGTTTCTGGGTCGGTATGTGTTAGCCAGACATAAATTTGAAGTTAAAATGGGTTTTGTATTTTAATATATTATTATTATTATTATTATTATTTTTTTTTTTTAAGAAACCAACAAGTTAGAAAATTAAGGCAACATTTCTATTTTTTTTTATCAGAAAAACACATTTTTGTATCATCTAAATAATTTGAAAAAAAAAAATAAATAAATAAAGGAAAACGAAACCAGTAGGCTCGTTGACATTCATAAAGTATATACACTTTCAAGATTTGAAGGTTCTCTGAATAAATCATTCTGGGTTAATTTTTGACATAAGTACACAAAGCCTCTGTTACTGCTTCTGGCTTTAAGAGTAAAAATTAAAACTGTATATTTTCTTTTTAAATGATATCCCTATTACACATTGTTTTTGCACTTGCATAAAATGTCTTACCTTGTCTCATAATATTTCCAAGTCAAACTAGTAAACAAAAATGTTTAATAGCTTTTTTCTGTCAATACAGCCAGAAAAAGCAATGAAGAATTAAAGTCAAAAAAATTTGTAGAATTAATAAACACCTTTTCTATTTTGTCAATTACTACATTTTATTTATACATACTGTTATTAACCAAAGTGCAGGCACCTAGTAGCCTTGTATCCAAATTCCCCTTTTGGTGAAAGATATCTCATTTTGTAAAGTCACTGCATTAGTTTACCTCTTACACCTGATCCCACTCCCTGTAAGATTAAAGCTATCCACAACCCCTTATGCAAAAGGGACCTCTCAATCCTCCAATTCCTGCAAATGCTGTTAGGTTTGCACTGTGCAACAAGTGTGGGGCCAAATGAAAAACACCTACACACGCTGACACACTCACAGCCAGGGCCCCAGGGTTTGGCAACCAGCTGAGTGAGTGTTTTTAAGGTCATCACTTAAAAGATGATTCAGCCTAATCTCCTGATCCCCGTGGCCCTCTACTATCTCTCCTTTTTCCACAACCTCCCTTTCTATATCTTAGCCCCTTGGCGACCATCACCTCCTTTATCTATTTCCTATCCCTGGGCTTTGTTATTTCTGCATCCCTCTCACTCTCGCATCTCACAGTCCTCTCTCTCGCCTCCTCTGACTTCATTTCATTCTCGCTCCATATTCTCATTTTTTACTCATCCCTTATCTATCGCTCACAGGCCGAGGGAGAAGAGGGGCAGAAAATAAAGAGTGTCGGGCACTCATGCCACACATTTTGATTGCTGCTTGCACTTTGGGTAGAAACCCTTCCTCATGTCACTCTTAGTCTGACCCATAATCTAAAACTTAAGATTCTCTTTGTGCTGTTCGCCTTTTCTGTAATGACACTTGACCTTCAATCAAAGGTAAATGCAACTGTTTGTGTACACCGGCATGACATGCAGTAGCATCCAAATCTAAGAAAGAAATGTGCATATATGTGGAAACAAAAGTTTTATAATTTGAAATAAAAACTTGGACTTCATTCTGAGTTAATACCTATGCCTCAACACAGGCTGGGATGTAACAATTAATATATAATCAGTATTTGGTGGGAAATATGCAGAAACAACACACAACCAGATTCAACGTAGCAGAGCTTGGAGCAAACGCACCAGCAAACATGTACGGTGCATTAGAGTAGACAAAATTAAGAACACCAACACGCTGGTACGAAGCTGGCAGGTAGTTAATGGACTGCTGACAGGAAATGAGAAGACGTGTGCTATAACATCCACTGCATTTGTTCCTGCTTTGAATGTAAATCGAGCAGCTTTAGAGGTGAATTAATGATGAATATATGGTAGTTGTTGGATGATTTGACAAATGTTATTTTTTTTATCTGCTCCTTTAAGAAATACTTGATGCAAAATATTTTTATGACTTATGACATTTATGGCAATCCTGGTAAATATTATTAGTCTTAAAGTGTGTACATATTTAATTACAGCGACTTGATGTCATAAAGAAAAAACACATTTCCCTTATGTGAAACAATTGTTTGATTATAAAATCTCTTCTAAGACCCTTTAAGTAGGACTGTGTATCAAATTGAATTTAAAGAATAGATTTCATTCAAATTTTCAAGCTTAAGAAGTTTGGATCCAGTCTGATCTAAAACATATTGGTTATATTAAAAACACTTTTTAATTGTTACTTGAATTTCATGACTGTGTCATCATGCAACATATCCATACTAGTATTATATATCAACATTCAGCTGCAAATTATTCAAGTATGGTAGTTAATTTTGGCTGTTAGGACAGCGGAAAATGGATTTAAAAAAGATTGATTATTGGTTATGTGACTCAAACTTTAGGAATTAATCTGGGAATCCATGCAGAACTGGAAAATTCAAGCATCCCTACCCTCATGAAATAAAAAAAAGTTGAATTTAGTTTGTAATCCATGATCTTTTGTTTCCCTGGGGCTTAAATATAATGTGACACAAAGTTTTTTTTTTTTATATATTACTTCAAAAACGGGAAAGACACAAGAAAGTTCTATTCTAGTAAGATCTATATGAGTTGTTCTTTAAAAGTCACCAATTGACTCTAATAATATGAGTTCTTACTAATAGGAACCCATATACATGGTCAGATGAAAAATAAATATGAAAAAAATTAAACTCCAGCAGGGGCAAACACATTAAACAAAGATCCAATTTTTCTTGCAACTCAGTACATAGAGAATTATGCAGATGGTGGGGAGGAAAAATACAAATGTTACACTCAGAAATCATGCTTTCAGTTTCAGATGCAGTTGCAATGAAAGCAAAATCAAATTCAAAAATAGAATGTGGGGGTGCTTTACTCAGGATAGGTTGTTGGGAAATGAAATGATAGAATAGCATTAAATAGCATACAGAAATATTTGAATTTAAGATTTTAAACCCTAGTTTTACTTTTTAAAATCCTTTAAAAAAGTATTACACTCAATTTTTGCAGTTCTCTACAGAGTTGATAGTTCTGTACATTGATTGCTTCTTCAGTTATAAAGACAAGGTCAAATTGAAAAGAATAGCTTTACCCTACAACATTCCCACAGTTGTAGGGGTACCAATTCTAAAATCATAGATCTATGCAGTGAAGAAATATCTAAATGCAGCACAGTATTCACTCATTGCATTGCTTCCTTACTGTCTTAGGGCCTGGAGATATGAAGAAAGGTGCAGCAGGGAAGTTCTTTCTGTTTCTGAATGTGTGAAAGTGGTGGAAGTCTAAAAGATGGGGGCAAATTGTCTGAAGTTTATCCTTTCAGAATGGTAACACACATGACCCAACTCCCGCTTCTATCTGTAAACCTCAGCTGTCTGTAGAGGATGAGAGTTGGAAAAACACCAGGGACTCTCGTGGCTACCTGCTGTTTCCGTAGAAACACAGTCTGCATGGCAGCTCCACCTCAGCACAGCTGGAGGTTGGTGTGTGTGTGTGTGTGTATTTGTGTGTATGTGCTATTTCCTTTTCGAGTTGTGCTCACTCTGTTGCCCTTTCGGCTACGCTGCAGCAATTTCTTTTTATTTTAGAAGTCATGTCCGCAAAACGGGGCAAATGAGCATCCACTAGTTTTATTTGGGATTACTGAGAGAGAGGAGAAATGGGAGACATGATTGAGAGACAGGAAGATAATATTTGGGTCAAAATCGGTCATTTCTGACAGAGAAATACCTTGACAGTTGTTGGGAATAAGTACGTGCAAACAAACAAACAAAAACACAGAACTTAGTCTTCTTCAAAAAATGTGATTTTAAAACCTTGTGACTGAATTTGTAAAGGTTTGAGCAAACATCAAGGATGTGGAATGTGAGTGCTGCAGAGAGAAGCCACTCTGATAGAATACCAATAGAGTGCAGCGCTTTGACTGACAAGCTCAGTTTACTCGATGTATAAGGTGTAAAGGTTGCTATGAAACTGCACATCATTACATACCTTTGTGTATATCTGCGCCCTGTATCCCCTTCCATTCAATGATTCAATTTGATTGCAAAAGCACTGGTCTGTTAGCAAAACGCTGATAGTGCCTAAGCTCATAGAGCATGCTTAGATCTAACGTCCATATTAGACACAATCAGCATTAAAAATACCGGGCTGAATGGAAAAAAAAAGTCACAAATTTTATCTTCTAACTTGCTGCCACAATACAGCAATATATTGTAATTCAATTCATTAAGATTTAATGTGATGGATCAGAAGAAAGGAATAATTGCATTAAATGAGGTTAAAGTAGACTGAAACATTTTTACACTACAAAATCGAAAAGTATTTGAATTGAGCTCTTCTTAATGCATAATTAACAGAAAACATCTTCAATTTCAATTACAGTTTCAAGAAAAAATAAATCATCTATTGATTTCCTTATAAATTACAGTTAGGGACAATCTTTCAGTCTCATAAAATCCAAATAAAACACAAAATACTGCTTCCTCTGCAGTTTGCACTACAGGTGAACAACCATAATTAATGGGTTCATATAGAGTCACAAATATTGAAAGAGACAAAACAAATATTGAAAGAGACGTTTAAAGTAGTGTAATGATTTAGATTTATGACTACTAAAAAACTAATTAGATCTCAGGCACAGGGGCCTTCTAATGTAGCAGTAAGGGATGTATGGAGAATTTAAACCAGACTGATTGACTTAATTTGACTGAGCATAGTTATGTTTACAATTAACTTCACTTTTAAACTTAATATTTGTAGGGTTTACTGCTTCATCATTGCTTTTTCCATTCAGATATTTGTTAGTTTAAACACTGCTTTAGCAACACCTTCTCCATAACACAAAATCATCCAAATTACTTTTTCTTTTTGTCATTAATCTGATTCCCTGTCAAATTAGACTTTATTTAAGATTGCAAAAATCAAAGCAGGGTTTAAATATCTCTCATACTTAGAATCTAAATAATCATATTTTGTCTATAAATAGGATACCTGTTACTTAGGTGGTAGTAAATGTGTAGGAAGACTGCTTGACTTTTTTCCTTCCTCCTTTAAAACCAAAATATTTCACTTTTATTTTGACTCGGGATGCATCAGATCCACCAGCAGGGTTATCTCTGTAAAGTTTCGTAGTTCGTATCCAGTATAGAGTTATGCATGAAAAATGTCACCGACTTATTTTTCCAGCTAAATGCTTGTTGATAATAAATGCACACAAACCTGCAAATAGTGGAACGATCGTTCCTTCAGCTTGTTCTCTATGGGCACCAAGGCTTTATCATAACCTCCTTCTCTGGTGGTTGGATAAACCTCTCTGGCTTGACTCACTGTCATGGCTGACCAGGTGCTTCGCTTCAGGGAGTGACCGTGGTGCCCATGGTGACCACCACCCTCGCCACCTGCCAGGGCTATCGTGGTACATGCCATGCACTCTCCAGACCCCGGTCCCCCGCCACGGTCCTTTGGTTTCTTCATGGTTAGCTCTTGAATGGCAGCATCAAGACTCTCATGTCCAGTGGGATACCCCCGTCTGCCCCCACTGACCAAGAAACTGCTATCACTATCCAGGTTATCATCAGAGCTCCACCATCCAGCTGTTCTGCTGCGGTGGCGCCGTCCCGATTCGTGCCGAGAGTCTCCACTTTTGCTCCGCTCCCGAGACTTGCTTCTTCTGGTTGAGCGAGACTGGTGGCCTGAGTTGTGGAGGTCCTCCCCTGCACTTCTGTGCCCCCCTCCTCTGTCACCTCGATACTCTGCACCTCCCCTCATGCCATTGTACTCCCGTTTGGTAGGTGCTTCAAGGGAATGGGACTTGGCAAAGAGGCGTTGCACTGAGTTGACCAAGTGGCGGATACGCGATGGGCTCTCGCTACGATGCTCAGCGCCTCCACTTGCAGAGCGCTGGTACTGTAGGGTATGGAAGCCATCTGGATGGAAGGGACCCTGCTTCTCAAACTGATCTATTAAGTTCGGAGGAATGCGATGCATCTTCCCACCATGGCCTGAAGACATGCATTCCTCACAAGAGTCAAACGACTGGAGTGGAGGATGCTGGCTGGGGTGTGAGCGAGGGAAGGTGCCAGAATGGCTATGGGAGTGTGAATGTGCATGTGAGTGAGAGTGGGAGTGATGCCTCTCCAGTGCCAATGCCTCAGTTGGACCACCCGAGTAATAGTGCCCATCGCTGCGACCTGGGTAGTAATCTCTGCCTGGGCCATCGCAGTCATCCGGCGCACAGTGGCATGGGCCTCCTCCGCCACCACCAGAGGAATGCTGAGACATGCTGCGGCTGACATGGTACCCTTTCATAGGCGCCGGGGCGTGGTGGGCCGTCCGGGCCGAAAGGGGGCGCTGTGGGCGTGACAGGGCTGCACTGGTCTCACCTGGAAGCAGAAGAGAAATACAAATTAGGCCTCACAATTACATTGGGCATGTAAGTTACTATATTAACTTAAGTCCTGATAGTGTACAGTTTTTAGATATTTTCAGTTTTGACATATTAACAAAGGATACATTCGAGAGGATACATATATTACAGCTAGAATATTCTGACAGAGTAAAGGTAGAAATTTGTGTGTGAATGAAACTCAGTTTAATGAAATTATAAAATCTAACATTTATGACAACAAAAAACTACGTTCTTTAAGAATGAGGTCATAACAAGCACCTCAACTTGTTCATTTTGGGGTCAGACACTCTCTAGGCTCTGGTTGTTGATGTGGTATGTTCTGTCATTGCAACCTTTCCTGTTTATAGTGGCTGAAAGTCAATACAAAGTGTCTTTTAGGTTAAAAATTGAAAGGACCCGTTTATAAAATATTTTTGGCCGGCAAGTTTTAACATTTTCAAGAAAGTGTAGGTATTTATAAACTGCCACAGTTCAATAAAAAACAGTTTGAATTGAGTAATAGGTATCAGAGCTATGTCTTGTATTTTAAAACCAGGGGAGGTTAACCCTTTATATATATATTCATTTTTCACATGCTAATAGCTCTGCCGAAGCCTTTAAGGCTTGCATGTAGTGTCTGTCTCCCAGAAAAACCTCTGGATAAGCTTTTCTGACTGGTTGACACAGTGCATTTAGCTGCAAAATGTCCAATTTCTGAACCCAGAGTGGAACACTGGGACGTCCCGATGCTTGGATGCTCTGATGCTTGGATGTCTGCAGCCCCAGCGGCTTGCAGGCAACAGGACCTCTCTACGCAGGTCGATGCTATCCACTATAGACATTCGATGTCAGTGATCTGGGCATCAGATGCTCTGAAGCCCTGAACGCTTTTGGTGTGAAAGCACCATTAGAACAACAACTACTAGGTGGATGACTTTGACTACTATTGTCCTAAAGAGGGTCAGGAATACAGGCCTAATACAGTTAAGCTGTAACATGTCTGAATCTAGTCCTCACCAAGAAGAGATTTGATACAGAAAAACTGCACAAATCTGCAATAACTTGCAATTTTGTCCTCATATTAATGTACTGTATTCTGACCAACGTTTTTTCATGTAATACGTGAATCTAGATATTACTTTTTTTTTTTTATATTAAGTCCTCTGCTGCAACATTATTTTTTTCTCTGAGCTAAAATTGCCTTGAGACTTTATCGCCTTCTTTTATTTTTCTCAGCAAGTAAAACCATAATTGCACTCGTTACAGGGGTATTCAGAAGATTTTCTATTTCATAACATCAGAGAAAAAAGCAAATTGCAAAAAAAGGAACTTCGTTTCATCTTTGTAACAAAAGCGTCACTTCATGTTCAAATCCAAAACAAACAATGCTGGTGTAAACATTAATTTATCAGCCAGTTAATAGGCAAGAGCAGACAGCTTTATTTTTCACATTCAACTTATAGACCTCTATGCTGATAAATCAAAAATAAAACCTCTTTTACTTTCTTGGTCCCTTCATTCTGTTTTGCTGTTATTCCCGTCCCACTCTATCATATCTAATTAGACATTATGGCCTTTCCTGTTGCCTGTCTTTTCCATCTTAAGGAAATCTCTGCCTGGTGTTGTCATTTGCAGCCAAGATGTGTTTATCGATCACTTGCATCTGATACACAAGTGATGAAAGAGTGGCAGCGTGGGTGATTTCACTTGCTCCTCCAAATGATGATGTGCTGAGTTGCAACATTAACATTGTAACAAAGGGAAGTGAACACAACAATGGGGGGAAAAAACAATGATATTTCCCTCATAGCACCAAAAAATATGTGCATTTCTAAAAATGAGGTTTTTTATATTTTCTTGATGTGCATTGAAATTGTAAAGTGTTCGATATAACCAATTCGGAAAATCTGTATTGATTTATAGTTTAAAAAAAGTATTTTCACACTTGAGTAGATAAAATTTTTCCTTTTTTCCCCAAATGTTTCACAAATAATGATAATGTGATGATGGAAATTTATATCTACTTAAAGGCATAGTCTACAATCTTTTATTTCCGGGTAGATTATCTAAATAAGTGGTTTTCCTAAATGTCAATCATTTTGGTGATTTGTTTACATGAGGCCATCCTACGTGATCACCCCGTTAGCTATCCTTTTTCTGGGCATGCACACTTCCAGGCGTATATCTGTGGTGAGCTATGGTTTCAGACAGTCATTAAAGCTCACCACTCTCACCACGGCTCTTTGAAAATGGCTGAGGGTCATAAGAGGAAAAATGTCTACGTGGTGTATAAGAAGAAAAGAGAAAGGCCTCAGAAGAGGCAGATATATCGCGGAATGCTTCTGGTGGAGAGCTCTCCTCGCAAAGCATGATCAGGGTTTATACAGGAATGAATAACTGTAATTTAATGCTTTTTAATGCTCTTTTAATGCTCTAAGAAATAATTTTATTGCCACGAAAAGGTACCCGTCGACAGGCTGCAGCCATGCCCCGAATTCCTTGTTTTCCAACCACTTTAGTTGAAATTGGCATTCTGCCCCATTCTCTAGCTTTTTCTCTTCTTTTCCGAACATACGTCTTTGCGATCAACCGGAAGCAGTTCCATGCAAATATATCGTGATATAATACTGTATGTCTGACAAAATTGTATTTATGAACCTTTTTTTTAAAAGAAAGCTTTTAAAATGCCACAATAAACACATTTAATTAATATAATTTCAATTAAGGCCTTAATTTAAAAAATATGATTTTTAATGACCAGCGGAAACCCTGATAATGGCATTTACTGTCGCCATAGAGTGCCGCTACCCGACAGCAGCAACCAATAACAATGATGGCACAGGAATTACATAGTATACCAATAGGGAAGTGATCATCTGTCCAAACTGTAAGTTGACTGAGTTTACCATGAAGTCCACTATATAGTCCCCGCTCTATATAGTGATTATTTAGGGGTTAGGGCGGACGTTTGGACACAGTAAGCTTGTATGAGCTATGACAACAGCAACTTTTAAACAGAGTGTGCACGAGGAGCAAAGGGCTGATGCATGCTCTTTCACATGCATTTTTTTTTTAATTGGATAGGGCAGGTCTTTTAAAAAATTCAAGAAAATCCTCTACAATACCTTTAATCAATCTTTTCTATACAAAACCATAACATGCTGTGTTTCTTTTAGGATTTCTTTTTTTTTTTTTTATGTTCAATAACCTTAATGATTTTATTTGGGAAAGAGAGGACAGTGTTGGGGTGTAACAAGGTTCCTTGCCATGACATTAAGTAATTGATCAGCAATAATAATGACAGCAATTTGGAAGAAAAACAGATAGAAATTTGTTATGAAATTACATTGACTTTTAACAATGCCGATAATTACATCTAATTATACAGCTTTAGACTTATTTACACCTTCAGACGTAAGCTTATAGAGGTAAGACTGAGATTTTCAAGTGCAAGTGAAATCACCTAGGCAACATAAAGTGCCTGGATGGTGAGAAAATAAAAGATATTTGTCTTTTTATGGCGTGTATATAAAAACCGGGTCTCTATTTTATTTTGTTTTTTGCCTTTGCTGTTTTCTTCAACAGATTCTGTTAATTTTTAGTAAGTGTTGGGTTCATTTATTGAATTTTTACTACCTAAAATGTATTAAGGACTGAATTATTTAATCAGCTGGAACTTTAGAAACAACAGACTGAAAGCTTTGAAAGTGTTTAATATTATATATTGTTATATTTTATGTTTATTGGAGAGTTTCACTTCAGTTAAGAAGAATTAAGTCCTGTTTGGACTCCAAGGCCACAACACGTCTAAGAGAGTGACAATGTGCAATCATGCACATTGTCATAGATGAATAACGAATAGTTCAGTAGGTAAAATGGACGTACGGAGAAGTTCAAACCCCATCGACACCTCTTTTCTCTGCAAATCTCGCAATTCTAAACTTCCACCATAAAACAGGTGAATCCAAACAAAGCCCCAAATTGACGTAAACTCTAGGATTTAGCCTTATTTGAGACAGCAAAATTGACATACAGACCAGCCCACTGGTTCACTGGTCCAAGAACATGAATAAGGTAGATGTAAGACACCAGTTTAGCTGGTTAGCCTACAGTTGGGGCTACTTCTACAAGAATTACTGTACAAAGCAGGCAGTTTCTCTATTGAAAATGAGCAAGAACCATGGGTGTAAATGCAGTGTTCCAGGCTGCCAGAGAAAGGAGAACATCTTCTCAGTCTTTCCAAGGAAGGCATGGATTATTTTTGTGTATCAGAAGATTCTTGCAAAGTTTGATGCTCAGTGGTTCTTTTGCTCTAAGCATTTTACCAAAGACAGCTTTCAAAATCTTGGACAGTTCAGCTGGGTCGCTGACTGGACCGGACCGGGCATTCAAACCGAGCCGTCAGCTCCAGGGCTGATCCGGGAGTGGTGGCAGGGAGCCAGCTGGGGACGGAGCGGCTGAACCCGACCCGGTGACGGTATGCTTTGCCCTACCTCCCTTACCGTGCTTCCCACAGAGCCGCCGGTGTCCAGGCTACCGTCACTGGTTCGGGTTTTTCTCCGATCCGATGGGGTTCCCGGACCAGCCCTGAAGCTGACGGCTCGGTTTGACATGCTGCACTGTAGTCGACCAAAATCCGAGTATGAAATTCCCCCCAGACATTTTGTTAGGTATGAAATGTAGGACATGTCCTGGAAAAAGAGGACGTCTGGTCACCCTACCATATCAACAATTTGATGTTTCAGTGAGTGCTTCTTGTTATGAAGTGCACAGCTCATCTAAATATTCATGAGCATACCAAGGGCGTTCAACCAGGCTTGCTTTAGGGCTCATACAACAGCAAATATGCCATTTTCAGCCAAACCAATGTTACATACCCTATTCAGAAAACTTAAGGACCAGCACCAAATACACTATAGAATCATTCTATGACCCCTTTAATAATAATAATCAAATTGTTTTTATTAGTTTTTCATATTATCTATGACCCCTTTG